ACTTTTGAATGGTCTTTTCCTCACAATTCTCTCCAGGCTGTGGTCATCCCTGCTGCTTGTACACCTTTTTCTTCCACACTTTTCCCTTCCACATAACTTTCTATTAATGTACTTTGATACAGCACTTTGGGAACATCCAACTTCTTTTGCAATTACCCTTTTGGGGCTTTCCCTCCTTAGGGAGGGTGTCAATGATGGTTTTCTGCACAACTGTCAGGTCAGCAGTCTTTCCCATGATTGTGATTCCTACTGAACCAGACTGAGACCATTTAAAGGCTCAGGAACCCTTTGCTGGTGTTATGGCTTAATTAGCTGATTAGAGTGGGACACTTTGAGCCTAGAATATTGCACCTTTTCACAATATACAAATTTTCTGAGATTGTGGATTTGGGGTTTTCATGAGCTGTAAGCCATAATCATCACAATTATGACAAATCACGGCTTGAACTATCTTGCTTTGCATGTAATGAGTCTATCTCATACAGTATATGAGTTTCACATTTTAAGTTGCATTACTGAAATAAATGAACTGTTGTTTCAATAATTGGTTGATTGTCATTCTAAACTTGATGTTTACCCTTATTAATACAGAATCTGCAGTGCTAAATTTGAAGGATACGTTCACCTTTCATACCATGTTACACCCATATTCAGGGTGTAGCATGCAGGGCTTTTTTTCAGGAGGAACGCAGTTTTGGCCCTTTCAGCACTGAATGTATGCAATGACAAGAGGTGCTGGTGTGATGGAGGGTCTATTGATGATGGGCACTGGGGGATCTATTGTTGCTGCTGGGTGTCTAGTTTTTCTTGCAGGTCTAATATTGGTGGTGGGGGGTCTATTGTTGCTGGGAGGGGTCTTACATTTTCAGGGGGTCAGTTGTTGCTGGGAGGCATCTACTGTTGAGGGCGAGAGGTCTATTGTTGCTGGTTGTTGGAGGGTCTATTGATGCTGGCTGCTGGGGGTCTATCGTTGCTGGAGTGGATCTATTGTTGTTGGCTGTTATTGTGTTGTAGGGAGGGGAGGTCATTGTTGTGTGGGGGATCCATTTTGCTTGGGGGGGTCTGTTGTTGGCTGCAGGGGATTTATTTTGCTGCTTTTCTTCTTATAATTAACAAGTCCCATGCAAATTACTTAGCATCACAAAATGATACTTGGTTTTGTATTCTTTAAAAGGAGCAGTACTGGGAGGTGGGTAGAGGGTGGAACTAAGGGACATTTCTCAGAGGTGGGTAGGGGGCGGGACAAGGGGGTGACTCAGAAGGGGGGAGTTCTTGTACCTGCTTTGCGAGAAACAAATCCCTGGTAACATGTAACATGTTATGAAAGGACCAGCCCCTGCTCCCCCACTTTGACAGCTAGCAGGGGTTCTTCTCCCCGGCTTTGACAGCTAGCGGGGGTTCTTCTCCCCCACTAGCTGGCAAAATGTAAAAAAAATGCAGCTGTGTGTGGCTCCGCCAACTCAGCTGCATCACTCATTTACAGGCCTCTATGAGGGAGAAAACTACAAGTCCTAACAGCCTTAACAGCATATATACGGACAGGTCTGCAGGAGTCCTTTACAGGCTCTTGCAACAAAAAATATTAAATGCACATTTTTTTATCTGAAAAAAGTGTACATTTGTTATTTTTGTCAAAAGGTGAAATTATCCTTTAAATTGTATTTGCTAATCTTTTAAAGGGGGATTCGAACCTAGAGTGTCAGAAGGGCTGGGGAGTTTACACGGTCAAGTTTAGCACAAGAGGACAGGCATCATTTAGTGGCTCCTACCGGGGTAACGCTACATATCCTATTAGATTGTACATTTTTCCATCCTCTGTATCCTCACTTGTATGTTAACAGACTGTAATATCATCCACCTTCTGTATATTCCTCAAAGAGAAGCCCACGTAGCACTTGGTCCTGAGCAAAGAAATGATTAGGTGCGTAAAAATCTACCCAAACAATTCTACAATTGGGGCCCTGAACACCTGCTGGGCCCTGATCTTATATCTTGCACTGCTTTAAAATAATCATGCCTCTTGTAAAGAGGGACCTTCTCTGTGACAATCATAGGCTAATGGGAAATTACACTTTCCATATATATAACTTTAGAAAAGGAAACGCCTTGGTTAGTCATCTCCTCTTGTGTACATATGTGTTGCTGGTTTGTTAGCAGTTAATTACAGTTTCAGTATTTGTAGCAGATGAATAGCAGAATAAAATTAGTTAAAATTAGAACTGCATATACTTAACACCATGAATAGATTGTAGGTTTATTTCGTCATTTGCTGTAGAAGTTTTTGACGTAAAGCGGTTCTTTAGTCACTTTTTAAAAAATTAAAACTCAGCAGCTACAAATACTGTAGCTCCTGACTTTTAGTAATAAGACATCCACCTGTCTAAGGATCCAAAACTGTTCTCACCTGAGCCAGTTGTTGAGTGTGGGAAGCTGGCCATGAAGCTTGCTGCTTCACATCCAGCTCCCCACTGCACAGGTACTCACCTGTCGATCTTCAGGTCCAAAGTACTGCCATGTTGAGTATGGGAACCTGGCCATGAAGCTCTGCACATGCGTGATCCATGCTGCACTGTGTGAATGGTCCAACAGCCTCCTGGGAACTGTGACGTGCCACAGAAGGTTGTGAAAAGGGAGGGGGGCAAACCTTCAGTGAAATCGCCTAGGCGAATCCAGCAGAAGTGGGGAGCAGGTATCTGTCAACATTAGGCACCCGTTCCACTATAAAAAGTATGTTCCAAAAGTAGAAGAGGTCGGGAGAAAGAAAAGCTGAACTTCTGCTTTAATGGGTCAGTCCACATAAAAACTGATATTCCAGTTTTGGTAGATGCTGAAGAGTTAAACCACTGGCCAATCTCTTAATGCTTCCAAGATTCTAAAAGAAAGATACTGTGTCTGTGCTTTGAGTTTGCAAACCTCCTGTTCAGCTTTTTATTTCATTTATTAATTGGAGAATGTAAAAGAGAGGTGGAAACATCCAAAACTCCTAGGTGGATGGGAACAGTTGTAAATTTAGCAGGAAGATTTTGGTGTTGGAGCAGGGGCGGACTGACCATTCGTGCTCTCGGGCACTGCCCGAGGGCCCGGGGTCAGTAGGGGGCCCCATGAAATGGCCCTGGTACCTTTTTATAGGCTTTTTTGGGTGTGCTTTGAGTGTGGGCGGGGACACAGGGGCCCAGCGATCCCTTATTGCCCGGGGGCCCCATGAGTTGTCAGACCGCCCCTGTGTTGGAGTATCCAAGATGTATAGGAAACCAGACTCAGTCTGCTAAGCTCCACCTATAAAAAATAATATTTTTGGAGGACTAATCCTTTTATTCTCCATGCATGGTACGAAAACTATGCTACCCATATGCTTCCACTGTATCATCCTGCACACTGTGCTGTACAAGCTTGTGCTCATCATAGACAGCTCACCATACTTGTACTGCAGAACTGCATCTGAATAAATGGTAATACATGTTAAAATCAAAGCTTATTACTAAGTTTTTTTTCAAACCTTCCAATCTCCCTGTAAACAAAAAAAAAAAAGAATTACTCACCCTCACCACACTCTAGTGCTGTCCCCCACATCCTCCTCTGTTCTGCATTGCCACTTGACTTGTGAGGTAATCAAAGATCATTCCACCCAGAACCTGTGAGTTCAGGTTGTCATAGACACATCTTCTGGACAGGGCAGATGCAGGGCAGAAGACAGGGGTCACTGCTGGCAGGGCAGAAGACAGAGGTCACTGCTGGCAGGGCAGAGGACAGGGGCGCAGCTCCTACCACAGGCAGCAGAGCTCCTCCTCTTCACACAATGCATAACTGTGATCAGTATAGTGTCAGTCAAGGACAGTATAGTGTCAAAATAGGTAAAGTTTCGGGCAGTATAGTGGCAGGTTAGGTAGTGTAGTGGCAGGTTAGGGTACTATAGTGGCAGGTTAAGGCAACATAGTGGCAGGTTAGGGTAGTATAGTGGCAGCATAGTGGCAGGTTAGGGTAGTATAGTGGCAGGTTAGGGCAGTATAGTGGAAGGTTAGGGTAGTATAGTGGCAGGTTAGGGCAGTATAGTGGAAGGTTAGGGTAGTATAGTGGCAGGTTAGGCAGTATAGTGGCAGATTATGATAGTATGGTGGCAGGTTAGGGTAATATAGTGGCAGCATAGGGTAGTATAGTGGCAGGTTTGGGCAGTATAGTGGCAGGTTAGGGTAGTATAGTGGCAGATTAGGGCAGCATAGTGGCAGGTTAGGGTAGTATATGGCAGGTTAGGGTAGTATAGTGGCAGGTTAAGGCAACATAGTGGCAGGTTAGGGTAGTATAGTGGCAGGTTAGGGCAGTATAGTGGAAGGTTAGGGTAGTATAGTGGCAGGTTAGGCAGTATAGTGGCAGATTATGATAGTATGGTGGCAGGTTAGGGCAGTATAGTGGCAGGATAGGGCAGCATAGTGGCAGTTTAGGGTAGTATAATGGCAGGATAGGGTAGTATAGTGGCAGATTATGGCAGTATAGTGACAGGTTAGGGTAGTATAGTGGCAGGTTTGTGCATTATAGTGGCAGGTTAGGGTAGTATAGTGGCAGATTAGGGCAGCATAGTGGCAGGTTAGGGTAGTACAGTGGCAGGTTAGGGTAGTATAGTGGCAAGTTTGGCCAGTATAGTGGAAAGTTAGGGCAGTATAGTGGCAGGTTAGGGTAGTATAGTGGCAGGTTAGGGCAGCATAGTGGCAGGTTAGAGTAGTATAGTGGCAGGTTAGGGAAGTATAGTGACAGGTTAGGGTAGTATAGTGGCAGGTTAGGGCAGCATAGTGGCAGGTAAGGGTAGTATAGTGGCAGCATAGTGGCAGGTTAGGGCAGTATAGTGGAAAGTTAGGGTTGGCTTGGGGGGGACACTAAAATCTGCCCAGCCCAGCATCCCCCTATAGATCTGGCCATGGCACTGACACTGAACATCCAGGAAAACTTAACAAAGTTGTTGTACAGAAGTCAATCGATATATATTATATTGCCAAAAGTATTGGGACACCCCTCCAAATCATTGGGTTCAGGTGTTCCAATCATTCCATAGCCACAGGTGTATAAAATCAAGTACCTAGGCATGAAGATTGCTTCTACAAACATTTGTTTAAGAATGGGTCGCTCTCCGGAGCTCAGTGAATTCAAGTACGGTACCATGATAGGTTGCCACCTGTGCAATAAGTCCACCTGTGAAATTTCCTTGCTACTAAATATTCCACGCTCAACTGTTAGTGGTATTGTAACAAAGTGGAAGCAACTGGGAACAAGAGCAATTCAGCCACAAAGTGGTAGGCCATGTAAATTGACAGAGCCGGGTCAGCGCATGCTGAAGCGCACAGTGCGCTGAAGTCGCCAACTGTCTGCAGAGTCAATAGCTAAAGACCTCCAAACTTTGTGTGGCCTTCAGTTTAGCACAACAGTGCATAGATAGCTTGGGTTTTCATGGCAGAGCAGCTGCATCCAGGCCTTACATCACCAAGTGTAATGCAAAGCGTTGGATACAGTGGTGTAAAGCACGCCGCCACTGGACTCTAGAGCAGTGGAGACGTGTTCTCTGGAGTGTCAAATCATGCTTCTCTTTCTGGCAATCCGATGGACGTGTCTGAGTTGCCAGAAGAACAATACTTGCCTGACTGTATTGTGCCAAGTGTAAAGTTTGGTGGAGGAAGGGGGGATTATGGGATGGTGTTGTTTTTCAGGGGTTGGCCCTTTGTTCCAGTGAAGAGAAGGGAAATTTTGCACAATTTCATGCTCCCAACTTTGTGGAAACAGTTTGGGGATGGCCCCTTTGTGTTTCAACATGACTGCGCACCAGGGCACAAAGCAAGGTCTATAAAGACATAGATGAGCTAGTTTGGGGTGGAGGAACTTGACTGGCCTGCACAGAGCCCTGACCTCAACCCGATAGAACACCTTTGGAATAAATTACAGAGGAGACTGCGAGCCAGGCCTTCTCGTCCGACATCAGCGCCTGACCTCACAAATGCACTTCTGGAAGAATGGTCCAACATTCCCATAGACACTCCTAGACCTTGTAGACAGCGTTCCCAGACGAGTTGAAGCTGTTATTGCTGCAAAGGGTGGACCAACTCAATATTGAACCCTATGGAATAAGACTAGGATACCATTAAAGTTCATGTGGGTGTAAAGGCAGGTGTCCCAATACTTTTGGCAGTATAGTGTATGTCTTACTTCATTAGTTCTTGGCCCATTCAGAGAAAATCGGCTGTCTTAATACAACAATTGAAACCTGGTCCATCTAGAATCAGGCTCAATTCAAGCCATCTATGGCTAGGCTTATGGAGAGTTAACAAGGCTGAACAGGAAATGCAAATGTATCCCCTTTTTTGCCAGCACAAGCTGGCACTTTAAAGGGGCCGTGGCAAAACCCGCTAGGCATGGATCCTGAACTTGCTGCTCTTTGATTGGCTGTACAGTGCTGACATCATCAGGAGCTGATAGACAACTCAATCATGGTTCTGGCTGTACCAGTGGAGCGTGCCTCTGAAAAAGACAGCACCACATATATGCAGCAGCTGGGTGTTAGGGCCCTCCCGCCTGGCTCCCACATATATGCAGCAGCTGGGTGTTAAGACCCTCCCGCCTGGCTCCCACATATATGCAGCAGCTGGGTGTTAAGACCCTCCCGCCTGGCTCCCACATATATACAGCAGCTGGGTGTTAAGACCCTCCCGCCTGGCTCCCACATATATACAGCAGCTGGGTGTTAAGACCCTCCCGCCTGGCTCCCACATATATATGCAGCAGCTGGGTGTTAAGACCCTCCCGCCTGGCTCCCACATATATACAGCAGCTGGGTGTTAAGGCCCTCCCGCCTGGCTCCCACATATATACAGCAGCTGGGCGTTAAGGCCCTCCCGCCTGGCTCCCACATATATACAGCAGCTGGGCGTTAGGGCCCTCCCGCCTGGCTCCCACATATATACATATCGCTGTAGAGGAGAAATGAAGAGTATTGCAGGGATAAATATATGAATGGATATAAAGGAACAAAAAACAAGTAGATAGATAGTTAATTATGAGCCAGGGCGTAGGGAGGGTGTCTGAAGCAGAAAATATATGGTACATTCTGTATAAATATACACTCACACATAAACACGTGTTCAGTCAGCTGTTGGAGTATGTCTATGTTTCCATGGAAACAGAGGCGCAGACTGCACACTTGTAGCACAACCTGCTGTTAAAAGGGCAGCCCAGCAATCTGTGACAGGAAATCAGTAGAGGAAATTTTCCATTTTTCTGCAGTGGCACAGAACTGACACCAGCCAGCTCTGACTACAAGCAGAATGACAGAAGTTACCCTGCAGATTTTTATTTTACCTCAGAAAAAGAAGCGGCTTGAAAGCAAGTGAAGCACAAATCCTCCCGTGGCTTTGTTATTGAAAAGCTGATTAAACCGATATAGAAGCAAAGCGTGTATGAGGAAACGTTTGTGACATTGTGTGTGCGTTCTGTTGTATATTGTGAGGGAAGGTACCAGCAGGTTTATAGTAAATGAACCGTAGACAATTGTCGGCACTCCAGCCTGCTACTCAGTAAAGGGTTAAATATAGCTGTAACTTTTAACCCAGTGTAACCCAGTATGTAGCCGATGCTTATAGCATGGCAATGTGTCAAAAGGCCACACCATTTCTTTAGGTTTTTATTTTATACTCAGCAGTTACAGTATATCAATTCTGCTTGACTGTTGAGGAGGCTTAGGACTCATTCACACCATACACTATATTGGCAAAAGTATTGGGCCACCCCTCCAAATCATTGGATTCAGGTGTTCCAATCACCTCCATGGCCACAGGTGTATAAGATCAAGCACCTAGGCATGCAGACTGCTTCTACAAACATTTGTGAAAGAATGGGGCACTCTCAGGAGCTCAGAGAATTCAAGGGTGGTACCGTGATAGGTTGCCACCTGTGCAATAAGTCCATCCGTGAAATGTTCTTGCTACCAAATATTCCACGGACAACTGTTAGTGGTATTATAACAAAGCGGAAGAAACTGGGAACAGCAACTCAGCCACAAGGTGGTAGGCCACGTAAAATGACAGAGTGGGGTCAGCGCATGATGAAGCGCACAGTGCGCATAAGTCACCAACTGTCTGCAGAGTCAATAGCTAAAGACCTCCAACTTTTGTGTGGCCTTCAGATTAACACAACAACAGTGCATAGAGAGCTTTATGGAATGGGTTTCCATGGCTGAGCAGCTGCATCCAAGCCTTACATCACCAAGTGCAATGCAAAGCGTCAGATGCAGTGGTGTAAAGCATGCCGCCACTGGACTATAGAGCAGTGGAGACATGTTCTCAGGAGTGATGAATCACACTTCTCTGTCTGGGAATCCGATGGACATGTCTGGGTTTGGCAGTTGCAAGGAGAACGGTACTTGCCTGACTGCATTGTGCCAAGTGTAAAGTTTGGTGGAGGGGGGATTAAGGTGTTGGGTTGTTTTTCAGGGGTTGGGCTTGGCCCCTTAGTTCCACTGAAGGGAACTCTAAAGGTGTCAGCATACCAAGACATTTTGGGCAATTTCATGCTCTCAGTTTTGTGGGAACAGTTTGGGGATGGCCTCTTCCTGTTCCAACATGACTGTGCACCAGTGCAGGCCCGAACCTCCTATTCTGGGGTCCCCTGCCAGCGCCATAGGCTCCTCCTCTTCTTCATGTACCACCAAAGGAATCAGTTTCCTATGGGGGCACATGTGTGGGCACCTTCCTGAGTCTGGCTCTCTATGTCCACAGACACACACAGTGTGGCTCGGCTCTGTTCCCCACTCTCTGCTCAACGGATTTGATTGACCACAGCAGGAGCCAATGGTTACCACTGCTGCCTCCCTGTCCCATGAGAGAGGAGAGCACTGAGGCAGATGGGCATTGCGCTGGATGGAGTGAGGACTCAGGGAAATAGTTAGGGGGTGATACACATAATGGAGCATTTCTTACCTTAATGCAGGGAATGCATTAAAGTAAGAAATGTTTTCCCTTTTGAACCACTTTGACATCTTGCATGAGAATGATGGCTCCTGACAAGTCAACCAAATGGTCAATAAATGATGTCCATCAATACATCACATTGGTCTATGTGCAGCATAATAAATGCAGACTACTGCATCTGTGAGAGCTGACAGCACAGCTCTCATTCATTTTTATTGCTCCCTATCCGAGAAGGTAGCAGACAAATGTTTAGATCTGTATTCAGCCATCTGATGCACTCCTTCTTTCTATGTGCACAAAGCCTTAGAGAGGGCTCATGACTTGCTCCTGGTTATTATGTTATTCTTGGCTAAAAGCTATTCTTTTGAATACAACACAGGTTTGTTCTTCATGGAATAATGTCTGACAATGAAAAAATGACTTGCCTTACTAAAAATATAACAAAGCAACTAAACACGTTCATAACTCTGATCTACAGCCCATCACTCCTGACCTATTGATGACGCCCAGTGATCGTGATGATGCAGAACTGGACATAGAATACCCTGAAGACAGAGGGAATTGGACTGGAAAGTTAGACTTCCTACTATCATGTATTGGATACTGTGTTGGATTGGGAAATGTCTGGAGATTTCCATACAGAGCATACACCAATGGAGGAGGTAATTTTCACATTCACATGCTGTACCTTTATATGTTTGTTCAAGAACCCATGCCAGGGGCAAAGTCCTAAGTGCAGAGTGCAGTAGCCCATGAGAACCAATCATAAATCACTTTACCAAAGTCAGATCAGTACAAGATGGATTCTGTTTGGCTGTATGATAACCAAATAAAATATTGAAATAAATAAAAGGGGGGTGGTTTTCTGGAATCCCCCCTATTTATCATAAAATTTACATGTACTATTTGTCGGTTCCTATAATTAAATAGTAAATATCTGAGCTTTGACAGTGTTGATGGACGTAATATACTGCAATATTAGCTATAATAACAAACACAATGCTCAAAGAAGCAGGGTCTTATTTATTTACAAAGGAAGTAAAACACTAACAGAAATGTAAACCAATATTACAGAGTATATAGGAATAAAAGTAAAGTCCTCAAAGCTCAGTATCTTTTAGCTGGGTCCCGGGTAAAAAAGGTGGACAAAAAGGCAGAAGCATAGTCAAACCTGTGGTAAAAACCCTCACAAGCACCGCCCACACACACACCCTTGACTCACCCGGTGTAGTCCTCCGTCCAATGAGCAAATGTCCATAACTCATAAGGGGCTGTCCTTCCTATTCATTAGGAAGTGTAGTGTACCAGCCGTCCTCCCGGAAGTATGTTGTCTCCACCAGGGGGCACTGCTATTTTGCCAACAATGCTTGGACCCAGCATTCCAAATCACATCTGGCTTCATCCTTCTGGCTAGAAGCCATGTAATCTGTCCTTTTAATCTTCGTGTTACCAGGGAATCTGGGCTGAGGCTCTTTTATCTCCATGCCCCACCGCTAGGGGGTATGTGCGAACTCCCAGGACAAGGATTTTGGTATGCAGCCTTTTGTTACACACACCCTGTTGTAAATACTTGATTTTCTTGACACTCCAAGATAACATTCAATAGGCCAAATGGTTCTTTGACAACCAGGCAGTAAGAATCCATAAATGTCTGAAATAAAAAACATGTTGCCTTCCAACAAATATATTGGTAAAAAGTAGCAAAACATCTTTATTTTTTAAAGCCTCTATCACATGAGCACAAAGACCCATACAGCACGAATGAGGCAGTTGTTTATATATGTGGAGCTGAACAGAATTGTATACAGGAAGGCTTTGTTAAAAAGTGTTACTGAACCCGCAACAGTAAAATCAGCCTGTATATGCAGTAAAGCATGCTTGTTATATTCACTGTGGAACCTAAGGGGTTAATCCTCTGCATTGTGAAAAAAGCCTGTTTGATCCTGTCTTCTTTGATCACAGTCCCCAATCCATCTGCTGATAGTACAGAGCCCTAGGAGACACTCTGCACATGCTCGGTTTGGTGTGTATTGCTAGAATGTTTTTTTTGGAGGGTGTATGTGATCGGCACAGGTCCAATCAACATTGTCCAGACAGTGGGCCAAGGGTCATGCAGTCTCATAGGACAGTCAGAGGAGAATGAAAACTTCTCCTACAAGAATTACTAGTGCTCAGCTGGACACGTATAGAAGTCACAAGACTGCTATATACTGCTGATGAGGAAAGGTATTTAGCGGTTTATATTTACTAAAATAATTGCATTTTCATGTTCTGCGTACTGTGGGAGACCAGATATAGTGAATGCAGGGTCCTGGGTTCAGTAACACCTTAATGATTTATAGTAGCTTTACAGACTCCAGCTTACAGTTGAGATCAGGGGCGGACTGACCATTTGGAAACTTGGGCAGTGCCCGAGGGCCCGGGGTCAGTAGGGGGCCCCATGAGATGCCCCTGGTACCTTTTTCATAGGCTTTTTTGAATTTGGGCAAGGACACAGGGGCCCCATGATCCCCGATTGCCCGGGGGCCCCATGAGTTGTCAGTCCGCCCCTGGTTTAGATTGACATGCAGGGGCATAAGCACGGCCCTGAAAGCTAACAGTGTGTTCAGGACCTCTCACCCTCCTGTAGGCTAGGCCCAAGGTACCCAATCAGGAAGAGACTACACACAGTTCTTGATTGTAGTAATTATTATGTTGCATATTGTATGGTAATAAATAATGAATAAATCTTGCAGGCAATATAACGGTTGGTGTTTATACACTGTTACCAGGCTTTGGCCTGCATTACCATAGGACGGCTTCTGCTGGAGGGGTTGGTGGTTTGTGGTATACCAGGGCAGCACTGTAATACTGCTGGGAAGAGGCTGATATTGCTATTCTGGATACTAGCATGTCAACTCTAGGCAGGTGTTGTCCCTGTACTGGCCCAACTCACCAGGAACCTCTCCATGGGCTTCATTTTCCCTCACTAGCGGGTCTCTTTCTCTGTCCTGTCACATGATCTAGGCATGCCCGAATGATGTAGGTACCCTGTTATATAACACAAAGATGGCCGCTAGACCGCTGAAGGTATGTAAGGTATGTTATGTTATCCGGCACCAAGCCATCAGTGGGAAATCCTGTAAGTCGCAAAGTGGGGCCTCCATGGTTCAGACTTGTTCTTCTAGCACAGCCCACAGATGCTCGATTAGACTACGATCTGGAGAATTTGGAGGCTAAGCCAACACGTCAAAGTCATTGTTGTGTTCCTCAATCCATTTTTGAACCATTTTTGTAGTGTGGCAGGGCGAATTATCCTGCTGAAGAGGCCCCTGCCATCAGGGAACGCTATTTCCATGAAGGGGTGTAAGTGGTGACCAACATTGTTTAGGTAGGTGGTAGATGTCAAGTAACATCCACATGAGAGGCAGGACCAAGGTTTCCCAGCAGAACAAGGCCTCCACCAGCTTTCCTTCTTGCCATACTGCATTCAGGTGCAATCTCTTCCCCAAGTAAGTGACGCACATGCACCTGACCATCCAAATGATGTAAAAGAAAACCTGATTCATTGGACCAGGCCACTTTCTTCCATTGCCCTATGGTCCAGTTCTGTTGTTCACTTTCTCATTGAAGGTACTTTGGCTGTGGACACAGGTCAGCATGGGAACCCTGACGCGTCTGTTGCGATTTAGCCCCTTACACAAACTGCTGCAGCACCCATTTTTTTTTTTCTGCTTTCAACACATTAACTTCAGAGACAGCTTGTTTACTTGCTGCCTAATATATCCCACCGACTTTCAGATACCATTGTAACAAGCTAAGCAATGTTATTCACTTAACCTGGCAGTGGTCATAAAGTTTTGGCTGAGCAGTGTATATTGCTGAAATGTCCCACCTGCCCAAATGACAAGGGCATCTCTGTGTTCTCTCTTCTACACAACTAAACTTGTTAGAGTAACAGCACTGTTTACAAGCTGAAAAGTCAAAACTATAGAGGTTGAGTAAAAAACAGTTGCAAACTAAGAAATAGGCAAATAGTCCAGACCAGGGCTCAACAAATCCCAGGTTCCAGGTCGCCATGGCGACTAGAAATTGTGTCCTGGCACCTGGGTTCACACACTGCCTCCCACTGACTTCAATGCAAAATCGCATCCCATTGAGTTCAGCGCAAAAACACCTCCCTTTGACTTCAGTGCAAAAACGCTTCCCGTTGACTTTAATGCAAAAACACCTCCCATTGACTTCAATGAAAAATCAAGGATACTATACTCATGTGCTGCCACAAATGAATGATAAGCTGCTGCAAGCACCTAAATGTGTTCCCACATTTAAAATAAAAATTCTCAAGAATAGTGCTGCACTGCCCCCTAGTGATCCAAAAACCAAACTAATAAATAAACAGCCTCCTGAGCATCAAACCCAATGCGTAAATGAATAGATCTGTGAAACAAATAAAGTCAATAGTTAATAAGAAAACTGGCTGTGCCACTAAATCCAAATGATATGTAAAACGTATAAAAAAAATAAAAAACAATCACAGTAGCAATAACCACCTCTCAGAGCTATAATAAACACACGGCTCAGCTGAAGAATATAGTGTAAAAACCAACAAGAACAATAATAAATATGTGAAACGTATATAAAAAAAAAAAACACAATCACAGTAGCAGTAAAAACCTGGCTGAGCTATAATAAAAGCCCGGCTGAAGCATAAAGTGTGAAAACTAGCATAAATAGTAATAAATCATTTTTTAATAATTCCTGAGTGTGCCTGGGGAGACCTGTGGAAGCAGTGGATTAATATTGAGCGCATTGACCTGTATCTTCTATGGGTCAGCTGTAAGGTGAGTGTGTATGACTGAAGGTGGAGGCACACGATTGATTTGCACATCTGTTAAAGTCACAGGTGCGTTACTTTAAATGTTGGAAGAAAGAAACTGTTTTATCGCTTTTGGACTGCATTTTGCACTTTATTATATATTATTCCAGTTGGGCATGCTCTTGATTCATCACTGACTTATTCCATTGGGGGGCTGATTGCTCAACTGGGCATTTATTTTAAAATTATTTATTATTGTTGTTGGTTTTCATACTTTATGTTTCAGCTCAGCCGGGTATTTATTATATATATAAGATATCTTCCTGCGCCTAGTGAGACACTCTACTTTACTATCCTGCTGCTGTGCAATGTGAACAACACAAATATATGAAAAAATAAAATAACAGCGCAAAACATAGACCTCTACATAAAATCAAAAAAGTGCAAAAAAAAAAATTTTTTGTAAAACAAAATACAATTTAAATGGTGCAGTCCATCAAATTCTTATATAAATAGTGAATCCATCAAAATAAACTAAAGTTCAAAAATATTCAAAAATATATGTGCAAAAAAAGAAAAAAAGAAAGAAATCTTTTCACATTCTTCTTGTAAAGAAACTTCCACCTTCCACCCGTGAAAACCAATATCAAATGCACTCACCAGATATAGGTGAATAAAACGCCTTTTAGGAATTTTATGGGATCCTACACCCTCTTTCGTATCCACTCTATAGGAATCCTTCCTCCAACATGGGCTCCACCATCCGACCAGGGAGAAAAAAATCTCAAATAGTGTGATATTGTAAGACACCATTTCATATGTGAAATCAAGGATTAAGGCCACTCACATTAATTTCACTTTAAA